ACTAGGGAGTATTGAAGGTGCAAACCGTGTGCTTGATTAGAGTGATGGCAGCACTTCTGCAGTTCTCCCTCTGGTGTTGGAGATTAGCATGAACATTCTTAGAGAAAAAAAAACAAAAACATGCCCAGCTGACTCTGTCTCACTTGTAGGAGCTGAGGATGAAAGTTGAGGCAGAGGGCACCTGACAGGCAAGCGGCGGAGAAGTCACGAGCTGGCGCGAGACAGTGCGTGCTGAGCGAGGCCGGTAGCTGGACAAGAGCGTCGGAGCCAGGCCTGGCCCATGGCGAACCTCGAGCGGTTCACCAGCGAGGTCTGGAGCAAGACCGATGGAAACGGCGAGCCCTGGCCATCTGGCCGAGGCCACGACGATCCCGGGGTGGTTTTGCAGCGAGACTCGGTCATTGATAGCCCGGGACAGCCAGCCTACGCAGCGCTGGCGTGGGAAAGGCGATCCGCAGGCCTGGACATGGACTCCGACTGTAAGCTGTGATCGACGGGCGACAACAAGGGTCGGCGGGTCCGGACTACCGGCTCTCGACGACGGGCAACCGGGAGGTACAGTAAACTCATTCGCTGTCTTCTCGTTGCAGTGTGTAACTCCCTGGGTGACGGGTGGAACGCATACCAATCGGGCGGCGATTACTATAGTAGAGGGACTTACGTAAAGAACCCCACACACTTTAAGTGTGACTGTTGCATAAGCTACAGGGGCATGCTCTGGGCTTTCGGCATCCCTCGAAACATGCATGCTGCTGCAGTGAAAACATCATTCGGTGCAATGATGTTGTGCTTGTGGCTTTGCTCACAGGTAAAGTAAAGTGAACCATAAACAATACTTACCCGGACCTGAGCTAGTAAATCTTAGCTCTCTTGTGTGATAGGGAAAAAAATATACACCGTAAAATACCCAGCACGTGCCTGCCCGTGTTGCAATGAGTGCCTGCCACCTACTTCTGAAACATATGAAATACAGGCGAAGGGCCTCTCAAGCGGCCACTCCGGGAAACTTCTAAAGCCACCGAACTAATTGAGGTGCTCTGCTGCGTTGGCTGCTTCTCCGAGAAACCAGTGCTATGTTGTGAAGCTTTTTGCGCGTGCGTTGGTGCGACGCGGTAAAGCTCGACCCGGGAGCACCAGTTGAAGGGGGCTTGACGAGAGGGGCGAGTCTGCTTTAAAAATTGTGAGCCATTCCACTCTGTGAAGGTGGTGGGCCTGCAAAGCTGTAGAGCACCATCACAAATGATTCACTAAGAGACACACAAAAGCACTTCACCAAATGTTTATTTACAGTATATATACATCATTATGAAGCAGTAGTGATTGTTTTCTCATCGCTATGATACTGTCGAGACCGGTTATGACGAAGTGAACGGGAATCGGAAATCACTTTGCTCTATCTGCTATTGCGTTATAACCGACTTTGTTATAACCGGTCTCGACAGTATACACTAATGGGTTTCATTAGAACTTTGGTGAGATTCTTTGGTAAAGTTAAATCTATACGTGTAAGGCTTTACATATACCGTAAAATACCGGGCAAGTGCCCACTAAAAATTTAAAGGTAATCGCAAAAAAATGGGGAATGGGCGCTTGTCCAGTTATCAATTTTACATATAAATGTACTGTACATATTTTCTCAGATCTTAGAAATTTGGATATGGGCGCTCAATGTGGAATGGGCGGATGCACAGTATTCTACGGTACAAGAGCTGCTGCTTTTATATATATGTAAAGAAGTGTCGTCACCCGACTGGACCGGGAGAAGGCCCATTGTTCTCGTATGTATCTTTATTATCACACATTTCAACATCTTTCTTTATCAAAATGCATATCGAGGTGAGAAGTCGCTTATGCATTTCCATACATTAGAGCGCATTTGCGTGCAATTTCTGACTTTTGTTTTTAGACACGGATACCAAAAATGCACGGAACCCTAGCCATATGCTCCTTTGCTGTAAAATTGAGGGTTCTGTCAGACTCCTGTACTGCTCCTATACACCAACTCATGTTTACAAACAAACCGGAGCGCCCCTAGCGGACGTCACCGGCGCCGCGCATGCGCCGTGGATGGTGGGCAAGAAGTCCGCCGTCGCCCATGAACAGACCATTGAATTGCGTTGTTGTCGGCGTCGGTGGGAGTCCCCGTGCTCTTTTTCGCGTTGGAATTGTTGATTCTACGTCCTCCTAACAATGTCTGACTACTTGAGCGGCTTCAGCAAAACTATCGAGGCAAAACTTTGCGTGGATAATGTGACGTGCGGCGATTCATTTCACGTGAACGCCGCAGAATGGGCGCTAAAGCCTCCCACGTCGAGATTCTGCTCGCTATTTTCAGTCGCGACGTCGCTCGGACTGCAAAAGCGTGGACCGTAGCTGAGATGGTGGACATCGATACTGAAAACCTCAAGTAGAATCGGGCAATACAAGTCGGTGATGGCCACTGGCAACAATGATCAACAACTTCTTGTATCTGTTTACACTTAGCCGACTTACCCCAACCAACCTTCAAAAATGTTTTGAGGCCTGCACTTATTTCTTATCGCAATTACCGGGTCAACATTTGGTTTACGAGCCGCTGTCGTTTGAACGAACTAACGACAAAAAGCAGCCAAGTTTGAAAGAGCAGACGACAGTTCGAACGCACGCGCAATGGAGTACGGGCAAGAAGCACCGCGTCCCGCGTCAACAAACCATTCGAATGTCACGTTGTCGGCGTCTGTGTGAGTCTGCATACTCTTTTTCGCGTTGGAGTTGTCGATTCTACGTCCTCATCGCAATGTCTTACCACTTCAATCGCCTGAGCGAAATTATCGAGGCTCGTTACGCCGCTAAACTTTCCGTAAGTAATTTGACATGCAGCGATTCATTCGCATGAACGCTGCAGAATGGACGCCAAAACCATGATGAGATTCTTATAGCTATTTTCGGTCGCGACGCCTATCGTGCTGCAAAAGTGTAAAAGGTAGCGGCGATGATCGACATCGATACTGAAAATCGGAAGCGGGAACAGACAAGGCGTAACAAGTAGGTGATGGCCACCGGTACCAATGATCAACATCTTGTACTACTGTTTACACCGAGCCTACTTAAGTCTTTTGAGGCCTGCAATTACTTCTTATTGCAATCACCGGGTCAAACTTTGGTCTACGGGCCGCTTTTGTTTGAACGAGCAGACGACAAAAAGCAGACAACTTTGAAAGAGCCGACGAAAGTTCGAACGATCAGGCGGCCGTGTGAATTTGAAGACGCACTGAATCCGTGGGTGGTCCGGACAACTTGGGGGTTTTCTCTCGGTCATGTTGGAACAAAGCAAACACATCTGGCGACTACAAATTGTGGCCCGCACACGCAATCGTAGTTCGACAGCGTCAGGTTTGCCCTTTTCACGGCTGCTATCCACGTTCTCGGACGAACGGAGGGTGCAAAAACACATGAAAACTGATCTTCAAACCTTCCCAGACTCTCTTGGTAAAGCCCCCATCGCAGCATTTTGACGAAAAGGCAGGTTTTTTGTCTCGTTTCTTCCAAAGGAACACAGGAATGCATGTCTGGCACGGCGACTTCTGCCCACCGCCCGAGACCGGAAGTGCGTCCGGCGCGCCACCACCGCGGCGTGACGTAGGAGAGTTGAGTTGGTGTATAGCCCTTTCAAGCGGCAGTCTCGAATGAGGTGATTTACAGTGCGCGTCACTGGTTTCAAGAGTGTACCCCATTTCTTCGGGATTATCTCCAATTTTTGTGTGGGTGCCTGCTCTGTATTTCACAGTAGTTGATACTAACGCATTGTAAACAAAAAATCTGAGATTGATCTATGTAGGAACAATGCTCATAAATACATATCACGGTGCTAAACGGATATGCTGTAAACCACTTTATTTTTGCGGACTCAATATTTCGCAAGTTCGGGAAAGTGTGGGCCTCGAGACTATTTCGTGGGCACAAAATTTTGCGACTTGGCGTGATATGCTGTGTATTTGTTATTATGGGGTAACACAATTGTGAGACCAATTTTTCTTAATATTTTTCCGGTTGCGATATTTACAAAAGTTAGGTCATTTCTATATAGTCGGGGGGTCTCCCCAGTGGGCAGCAGTTGTTTAGCCACCCACCTGTCTGGCTGACTGTGCATCTCTATGTTCAGCCCGTCTCCATATTTTGCCTCTGCGGGACAAGACGATACTGGTTTTCAACGTGTACGAGAACCCCAGATTGTCGTGTTTGGCAGACTTGTGTGGCACTATGTAACAGAACAGTAGAATCCCTGCGAAGTGGCAGCAACAGTCCCCTAGCCCTCCTCCCAGCGCCCTGGAAATTGCCAGGGGTTCACATATCAAAACTTTTCTCTATATAGTTTATTAAATACTTTTATCTGAAAAAAAATGTGCTAGAAAATTTATCATACTCCTGGAGCAACATAATTTGATATACACATTCTTATACCTGGTTAAAGGGCAACTTGGTCAATTTCGAGAAATTTGAGTTAATGGTTGATTATATATCCCGGGCTAGGAAGAAACGGTTCCATGTAATTACTTTTCGAAAAAGTGTAATATTTTTTGCGCAATCTTCATTTAAAGTCTACCACAAACCAAAACCGAAAGCTTGCCCATAACAGGCAACATTGCTGCTGTGTCATCAGCTACACGCTCTAACCACGCGGTACCAATTTCGACGTTGCGTACCAGGCAACCGGGCGCAGCTCGACGCAAAGGCAAAAGTCGTTTTCTATGACTGGTCGTCTGCTACACCCGACGACGCCTGTACTGCCACGGCTGCAGCTTGTCGCGTAGGATGGCCGGACAAACCAAAAAGGGACGTACCCTCGGCCCTCGGGTCTCGGCTCGTCAATTCGAGATCTTGTGGGACTATCTGTCGGCAAACCCAGCCCTTGTAAGGGCTGCCACAGATAGTCCCCTGACTCAGGACGAGAGAAAAGTTCTATGGGACGTCGCGGTAAGCGACCTCAACGCCCAAGGCCCGGCCGTGAAAACCCGGGCCGAATGGAAAGGTTATTGGAATTCAAGAGTGTACGCGGCAAGGGGTAGAGACCGGGATGCCACCACCTCCGCGCGACAGACCGGTGGGGGTGCCAACCAAGTGCCGCCGCTCAACGCCGAGGAAGAAAAAATCTTGGCCCTCGTGGGAACAGACTCCTCACGAGGGTGCGGCGGAAGGCGCGTGGGTTGCGACGCACCCGCACCTCTGGATGATACCTCGGCTGCAGCGGCGGTGAGTACCCGCAGACGCAATGTTAACTCCTCCAGCATGCGGTATTTAGCTCATTGTGCACAAAGGTATAAAACTGAACTAGCGCGATTGTGCTGCTCTACGTTTTAAACGTGTCCCCTATCATGGTGCAGCTGTTGTAGATCAGATAAACCACTGCTGATACCTGAATTGTGAAGAAACCAAGAGATGTATTAGGTACTGAAACTGCCATATTGCAGCAGCCTCGGCTGCAGCTATAAGTCATTATCCGGGAAGGTGGCTGTGCCTCTGTATGTGTAAACTCTGGTTTCGTTGACTTGTACAGGCCCCCTCACCGGCTGTGCCAGATGCGGGGCCAGATTCACCGCCAGCATCCGCACGGGTGGCTTCTCCGCCACCACCATGTGGTAAGTGTGGGACAAATAAAAGAATGTCAGTGACAGAGCAAGGCTCAGCATGCTGGCATCAGGTATACCACTAACTATGCGCTTCATGGTGTTATCAGATACTCTGCCACCCCGGAATGTTAGGCCCCGGTCTGGCACAGAGTGCACAGCCCGCGACCTCCTGGCAGCACAGCAGGAGCAATTGGCAGTCCAGAAGGAACTACTGGCCACGCAGCAGGGTCTGCTGAGGGCCCAGGAGCGGCAGCTGGCCATCCAGGAACGTCTGCTGGCATCCCATGACGAGATGCTGGTGCTCCAGAGAGGTGCTGCCGAAGCATTACGCGGGCTAACATCAGTACGTATTTAGTTTTGAAAGCTGTGAAAATAAAAGTGTCGTATTATGTGGTATTAACTAATGCTCTTAAGCCAAGGTTGTTCATCCTTGCTTGTTCTTAGGTCATGAGATTTGACAACTTTATAGGGCAAAACAAAAATTAGGTGACATTCTGTTAACAGATGCCTGAATCAAGATTTGAAGAAGTCGTTGTGGTCTCTCGGCACGAGACATGCCGAGAGTCGGTCATGTCTCGTGGGTTGTGTGCAGTATTTGGAAATCCAGAGCACAAACATGCCTGGATTGTACCAATAATCACATAAACTGCTGGTGTTTTCTGGCTACATGCCCTTGTTATTCCCAATGCAGCAGTGCAGAAGCCTTTTTCCAATAGAAAGCCTTGTACTGTGCAAACACTGCAATGTTTGGCCGGTGTGTAAGAGTTCGGTGATTGTATGGAAGCTCCCCAGTTAACAGGTTTAGTAAAGTGCAACATGATGCTGTAATTTGCTTCAAGTGAAGTACAACTTATTGAAATTAATCCCGAGGCGAGAGCACCGGCCTACGGATTCCCATGTGGCGGGTTCGAATCTCGGCCGAGGTGCCCGCAATCTGATAGAGGCTTATTGCGGAGAAGGCACCATGTAACCGAGCTTTCGGTTGCACGTCAAGAGATCCCCAGGTGGTCGAAATTAGTCCCCAGTCATCTGCTGGGGCGTGCCACATGCCCGTCATTGGTTTGGCACGTAAAACCCCAAAATTCGATTTTGACTTATTGAAATTAACTAGGAGTGCTACTCTAAGAAAGGAAGTGTTCCAAGCTCTTCACAACACTGGAACACTCTAGCCAATGCTTTAATTCTTCGAACTGCAAACAACTGCTGTTCAGGAATGTATATTTTGCTACTAATATACTTTTTCTCATGCTTTCTCTACAGGCTGTGCAAGCACTAGCAGCCTCCAGTGCCCAGCAGGCGTCCTCGTTGACTACGCTTGTGCTCCACCTCATGGGTGTACGTAACCTCCAGCCACAGCAATAAAAAAAAAATCGGGCAGTTTTTGCTTTCTTCAATAATTTATTCATTCTGCTGTGAAGGAGCCCGACAGACCCTTTACCACGACAAACACATAATTGTTGTGTGGCGATACACTGCCTGCTTACGGCAATAAGGAGCCCCTTTTATAGGCCCTTGCTTTTCCGGAACATCCAGTTTAGAACATTCTGCTCTGGAATTAATACGTAACAGCATTGCTCAATAATTTTCTAGAACAAGGGATTTTACAGGTTAATAAAATGCATCCGGTTCCAGGGTGGGAACCCGGGATTCCTGCCTTGCAACTGGGTGCGGTGCCCACTCGGCCACCGCCACACACAGCAATCTATTCTAGTAGAATTCCAGTATCACTTAGGTACTAAAAGCATTATAAGATTTAAACACATTGGCACGCAACAAAAGAAAAATAATGTGGCTTCCATTTGTGAGATTCTATAGACATCATGATTGCAGTTAAGGAGCGGAAAAACTTGACATGCAGGAAACAAAAGAAATGACAAAAAAAATAGTTTCAAAGGTGGCCGGGAGGCTTGTTTCAACAAAGTATGACTATCTCGAAGGCGAGAGTCTCAATTTACATTGCATGCAAAAAACGACCTCAGTGAGCGGGGCGACTTCGGTGAGTGGGTCGACCTCGGTGAGTGGGTCGACCTCGGTGAGTGGGGCCACCTCGGTGAGGGGGACCACCTCGGTGAGCGGGGCCTCCTCGGTGAGCGGGGCCACCTCGGTGAGCGGGGCGACCGGTCGGACGTGGTTGGCGAGTAGAAGCAGCCACCTCTCTAACTTTTCGCCGCCGCATCGCTTGGCCTCGGTCTCTTACGGTCCTGATTTGTGTACCGCTGTCGTCGACTCCACACCCTCATCAGACTCTGACTCTGAGGACACATAGGGCTCGGGTGCAGGTTCCGGGATTGTGCAAAACAAGCACACATTATGCAAAATGGCGCATGCGGTAGCAATGTTACATGCCCTGTCCGGATCATAATGTAGAGCCCGGTACCTCTGCAAACACCTAAATCTGTTCTTCAGCATGCCTATGCAACGCTCCACAGTGGAGCGTGTTGAGCGATGTTTCTTATTAAACTCTGCCCCTGAATGTCCAGTGGGGTTCCCAGGAATTGGGGTCAGGAGCCATGGCTCCAAGGGGTAGCCGCTGTCGCCTGCACACAAAGACGTAACGGGACTTTCCGTAGATGTTCGGCAACAAGTTTAACAGCACACCTATGCTATATTTGTCTATTCTTAAGACAAACTAACTGTAAAAGCTGCAAGTCTGAGATTTTGTTCCTGCCTTTCACCAAATATTAGTGGCTTGCTGGTGGCCTGTAGCCAGTGAGATTTAGGTGGTCAGGCAACATACTGCCACAATATTTGTCGACCTACAGTGGAGATTGAGAAAACAAAATGTTGGAAACTAATGTTTTAAGCTAATAGAGAGTTGATTAATGAACTAGTTCTGAACCTGTAGAATTATTACAGAACTACCAACACATTTAAAGGATGTAAAAATATGAAAACTACTTACCCAGCAGGCACTCGTTCTCTTCGGCTAGTCTCCCTTGCGCAAACTGTTCTCTTAGAAGAGATGCCCGCCACACAAAAGAGTCATGGACGGACCCCGGGAAAGTTGCGTCAAAGTTCAGGATACAAAGATCTGCGTCGCAGACCTGCAAAAACGAAAATGCAGTATTTCATATTCATGGATTATTCAGCTACCATTGCATTTGGATTTATCAACACCATCTCTCATGGTACTCTTTCCTTGCCCGAACTAAACATGACCGACCCATACTACTTCACAACTGATTGAGCATTGTTTCATGATACCAATTTTTAGTCAGACTGGATTTAAGAACTCTACTTGACATGAGGTAGGGTTCTATCGTTGAAAAGTGCAAGAAAATATACTTGAGCTCTTTCGCTGGGCAGAAAATGAACAGCATGCATTGCAACTGTTCTGCCAGGTTCGCCTTCACATGTCTTCAAATTACAGATGGAGACGTGCAACCACGTGCTCCTGCAATTTGCTTCAAGCTAATTATGAGTTTGCATATGGCGCACCCTCTAATGGCATACAGACAAACTGCGACATAAGTGTAGACCAACACGCTGTTTACAAGCAGGCAGACTTCGTCCACACAAGGTGCGGGCATTGTGCATGAGTAGGAACTTGTTTTGTGAGCGTTGAGGCGTCTGCGTATGTGCCATTGAGTATGTAATGCTACCTCTGCAGTGCGACGTCAAGACATGCGTGATGCTACATATATGCTTGCACATAATAATTGTGGTGGCGTGGATATTTATATGGCGTGTAGTATGTCAGCCATTTCAAAGTTGCGACGAGTCACTCGCAGTAGATGAGCAATTTAGCCTGTGCAGTACAACCGCTAGCCTTAGGCCTTTAACGTGCACCACTGCGTGGTGCACGTTAAAGACCTCAGGCTAACAGGGACCAGCTTGGAGCCCCACTGCGTGGGGCTCCGAGCTGTGCACTAGCCCACTCGGCCACCGATACCCCGTTATACTTGCACACAAAACTATGCGGAGCGCAAGTTAGTCTGCTTGTTGCACAGGGGTTTTGATGATGTCAGAATGCCAAGCTCTTACTGGCTGATAAAAGAAAACAAAATAGTGGCTAGACCTCCAGGCATCAAGCATTGAGGTCTACCCATTATCCTTTCAATCAAAGCGAATCGGAGCTCGGCGTCATTCTGACATCACTGCAACTCCTATGCAAGAAGCAGACTATTTGCACTTCGCATTGAGCCAGAAGCTTTGCTGCAATGTAATTTCGAGGACAGAAGCGGACTAATTTTTTCAGTCTATCTTTTGCAAAGCTTGCTGACATAGTTCTGAGGACCAGTGTTAATGTAGCCACAAGGATCAATAATACCGTGGTTACAATATTCTAATGCATTTCATGGATTAGACAAGCACTGCAAGAGCTCTCGGGTCGGACTGTCATGCCTGCACGAGAACAATATTTACGTTCAGTGTACACCTTGAAAGGAAGCTAACATACTTACCACCATAGCATTGAGCGCATAGTAATTCTTCCGGCACCAATACGCAGCCTTCGAGAATCTTGGATCGCCTTCTGAAGGAGCCCGAATAGCAATCTGTGTGCCATCGATGCACCCTGCAACACAAAAATTGTTTTGACACCCTCATTAACGATGTCATAAGGGTTCACTTTAGAAATGCACAACCACAGGTTCAGGTAACAGTGCTGGTGCCATTCTATAGCAAGCACAATTAATTTTTAGTTGCAAAAGCCTTTCTCAGAGGATGCATGCGCAATCATATCAGTAAGTTTTCATATCTTGGAGCGACTGGTAACCGCAACACAGCCTGTAGCATGTGAACTAAAAATTGCTGTACAAACATTGGTAATGATGTTGCTGGTTGGGTGTTCATTGGGATGGGCAGAAAAGAGTGTTTTCCCCAATCGTACGCGCAGTCAAAGCACGACAGAATACAACGATCTCGCGCTGAAGGCGGCCGCTTCTACTTTCAGCTCAAGGTGGAGCTCTTGAGCAAACAGACTGAAAAAGATGCCCTATTCTTAAGGCTCGTCCACACATTTCCGTTGGACCTGGGGTGCCTTCATCTGAGCAAAGCGGACATGAAGGCACCCTAGTTGAACCACGATCGACTACATTCCCAAGGGACATTCGTGCCGCGGGCAAAGATCGCACATCCCGGGGACTTACGGCCAAACGTAGGTAAACCATACTGTGTGAACAGGCCCTCGCTATGTAAGCACGCTACCGTTCTGATAAGTTTAAAGGTATTTACCAATCACACCGCTGAATTTGCAGCGTCGAAAGAACTTCTTCTTCGCTTCGGCTTTCTCCTCACGGGTGTGCGGGAACCGCAGCCAGCTTGTGCCGAGGCAGTCGATGATGGCTTCTGTCACGTCCACTAAGACACGGCTCACCGTACACTGGTGAACAGCGATATGCTCGTCGCTCGCAACTGTGCCTTGAAACCCGCCAGCGGCGTAGAATCTGAGAGCGACGAGCACCTGCTGCTCCACCGTGATATCGTGAGGCCTACCGTATCGCCGCTCAAGCTTGTTGCGAAGTTTGTCGCAGAGCCAAAGAGCTGCCCCTTTGGTAAGGCGATACTCTCTTACAAACCTTACCTCTGACATATCAAAAGCGTTGCGATGCTCGCGAAAAACTCGATCGGCTTGTGCTGTTAGAAGCAACGACCCAAACGTTAGGGTCGCCATCTTTCCGATGGAGTTTGACTTCGACTGCCACCTCGACTACAAAGTTATCTGCACCGCCAAACTGAATCGTGACGACATTTTGACGTCACCGCCAACTGCATCATTTCGGGAGCATAGCTCCAACTTCATAGGGAAAAAAGCGCATTGTGACGTCACCTCACGTGACTAAGCGGGCGGCCAATCAGCGCCCGATTGACTTATCTTCATGATTGAGTTTGCTCCCCAGCATAGACACACTGTTTTTGTTTCTGCGACTGTCGCCGCCTGCGCAACGCGCGCCGCTTTTGAGTTGAAAAGATTGTCCGTAAAAACGCCGGCTCTCGGCGCCGTATGCTCGTTCGTTGGTGGCGTTCGTCGCACCATCTCTTGTCTCCCGTGCGAAACGGCGCCGTGTTGTTTCAAGACCGGTGGCGTCGCTGCATTTTCTTAGGAGCTAAGCCTTTTGTTTCTTTACTTTTTCCTCTGGTAATTTCGCTCTTTGTAAATTTTACAAAAAAAAAAAAAAAAAGTACAATCTGTGGGCGACGCTGCACAAAGTCGTAGCGCGATAGGTTAAGAAACCGAATTTCGCGGTCAATTTAAAGAGCCTGGCCTCTCCTTGAATCACTTTGTATTTGCAGTAGGGGAACTGCTGCACCACTTGCGCCAACCTGTGCCAGAACAAATAACCTGCTACATGCTGCTCCTGCTTTGGTGCGCAGTATGTGCCAAAAGGGAGCTGTTCTCAAAAAGG